TCTGTGTCTGTGTGTCTGTCTGTGTCTGTCTGTCTGTCTGTCTGTCTGTCTGTGTCTGTCTGATTAATCGAAATCGAATCGAAATCGCGATTTGAGACGTTGAGATATCCTAATCGCAAAGCCTGCGATGTGGACGCGATATTATCTATTTGATGGATTCTATTGGTGGGATGTAATCTGGCAGATGGCAACCAATAGAACAACAGTAATTCCTATTGGAATAATGCCCAAAACAACAAGGAATTTTGTAATGGTTTAATGGAAACTATAAGAATTTCTGTGATGGTTTCTATTGTTTTTTTCAGCAGGGTAATGATACCCATACTGTGCTGCACATTATTGACAATATTGAGCTGAAGCTTGACTTTGCAAATTTAAAATCGCAATCGCAATCGCAATCGCAATATCTGTCAAAAAAATCGCAATTTGATATTTTCCCCCAAATCGCACAGCCCTACACTCAATTAAAGACGCTTCAATCATGCTTTAAAGGGATAGTTCACCCCAAAATTAAACTTCTGTCATTAATTACTCACCCTCATGTCGTTCCAAACCCGTAAGACCTTCGTTCATCTTCAGAACACAGATTAAGATATTTCTGATGAAATCCGAGAGCTCTCTGACCCTCCCATAGACAGCAATGATCCTATCACGATCAATGCTCAGAAACGCAGCAAGGACATCGGTAAAACAGTCCATGTGACATCAGCAGTTCAACTGTAATTTTTTAGAGCTACGAGAATACTTTGTGTGCAAAGAAAACAAAAATAACAACTTTATTCAACAGTTCGTCTCCTCCGCGTCACCCTATAGCACTATTTTGGAGAGTATCCACTCAAAGTAAACCGCGTATGCTGTTGTACGCTGACACACATGTTGTTTATGTTCAGATCAAAGCAAGCGCATACGTCGTGGTATTCTCCAAAATGGCACTAAGCTACAGTTGGGATTAGGGATGTCAATGATTAATTGTCGATAAGAGATGTAATCGATTAAAGCTGTCGATGGTCGATTAAGCAGTTTAATTTGGGTTGCGTGCGGCTCATGCGCAAAACACTTGCAAGCGGCTGTGAGTGACAGCGATGAGCCTGGATCTATGGCGAAAATAATTCACTACGCTTTTAATGTGATCCAAACTTTAAAAGTGCATTGAAAAAGACACAATAAAGTCCTTTGACATGGAAAGCAATTTCCCAGATAATTGTTTCAAACCGTGCTCTGCTTTGACAGGGCTGCGAGACACGAGCAGGACAGAGCCCATCTCTGTTCTCATATCTTCATGTTTTCTCCCAATATTGCAAAGCAAATGACACGTCTGTAAATTGTCAAAAAAGTGAATTTATATATAAGCCTAAAAAAATCATTCCTACAACTCATTAATTCGTTCCTACGATTTATTAATCTGTGGCCACTGTCCGTGTTTCATTAATTTTTACCCTGGATAACCCATGATCTAACTAAAATGAGGGAACGAATTAATAAGTCTTAAGAACGGATTCTTAATTCATGGCCGCGAAATCATAAATGCGAAAACATGGATTAAAAGTGAATGACAAGAAAATAATCCTGCGAAATTAGAGGGTGAGACGCAAAGTATAGCTTAATTTAATTTATGAGTTTCGCACGGCATGAATCCAAAAGCGTGGTCATGTTATAACGTTTGCCTGCTTATTTCACACATTAGGGCTGGGCGATACGGCAAAAAAAATAAAACCTCGATTTTTTTTTTCTCAGAACATTTGACAGATTCTTGAATTTTATATGATTTTTAACTAGTCATCTTGAAAATGTAACTACAACATGATTCAAGTAACTTTTTCCTAGTTAACCCTCCAGTTGAAGATTCTGTTGCAAGTGCAGCACACATGAAGTTGTCATCATGATGTAAATCAGGAGTGCCCACACTTTTTTGTGTGGGGATATACTTTTCAAATGAGAAACTCACCGAGATCTACCAAATGAATAATAAAATACATATAAAATAAATGAATAAAAAATAGGGCTGGGTTTTGACACACATTTCACGATTCGATTCTCATTCACAAGCTTTCGATTTGATTACCAATTTCGATTCGATTCAATATCGATTATTTTGGATATATATGCCAAATTTTCTCAAAGAAACAAAATCTCTCAACTAATGCTGTAAAATATACATGAGAGTACGGTTGCAAAAAGGTGGAACATTTCCAGTAAATTTCGGAAACTTTCCAGGATTTTTTGGAATATTCCAGGGATTTTTGGAAAGTTTCCGGAAACTTACCGGACGTTTTCCACCCCTTTGCAACTCTACAGTAGAGTCAGTTGGTACTACATTACTATAATATTGAAGGTTAAAATTGACAGATTTGTTAAAATTACACTTAATGAAGATTTTAAAAGAATAAAGTTACTATTACATAATATTTCTTCTTCAATTCGTTTTTTTTTTTTTTTTTTAATATAGGCCTAAACATAATGGTGGCTGTCATAAAAACTTGATGGATTTATTCAAACATAAATCAAACATTGAAGAACAGTGAGTGTTATATGGTGCATATATTTAGCAAAATGCTTCTCTCTACAGTTTATTTTTCTATGACTAATGAGTTTATGAGCTCAGAAAAAAATTAAACATGCATGACTGAATCGTTCCCAATAAGATCAGTAACATGCATTTAGAAAATGGCGTGAATTTTAATTTCATGCTTTAAAGAAATCTGAATTTTGCACTCAACTTTCCACTCGGTCCAAGGAATCGCATTCATTTATCCTTATCTGTCTGTTCTTATGTACTGATTATGCATTATCAGCATTTAATGGCATTTAATTTTTGATGCTTTGTCTTAAAGAGCTCTGAAGTTTACACTCCTCCTTTCTCTCTCACTTCAAATAATTGCATTAATTTATTCCTGTGCATCTGTTCTTATTGGTCTGTTTTTATTCTTGATCATTATTAAACTTGTTTTATTACGTGTGATTCAGTCTGTCAGACTACTTGAACGCATCTCTTTTCTTATCTGAATAGGTCTTGACAATATCTTGGAAGTGTTTCTTGAAACACAAGTTCTGGAGGATCTCGGGCTTTTAAAAGGTATGCTTCTCTGAGATGATAATCCATCAGTTCAGAAATTGACACAAAGGCATTACATTTACTGTAACTGAAGGCAGTAAATGGAAATGTGTTTGTGGGGTGGCTGCTGTTGTGTTCATGCTTGAATTTCAGAAATATGAAGAATGTATTTAAATGAGGAAGCTCATTACAAAACAAAGTGCCTCAAAAATACTCCACATCATTCGCATGTTTTATGCTTTAATATTAAGTTGTGAACCACATTCATGTAGTTTCTGCATGCCTCCATTATCAAACATGTTTTACTGGACTGCACTGCATTTGCTATCACTAGACAAAGGTTTTATCCAGAGACTTTAAAAATACTTTTAAATTTTTTTAACTTTTAAAAATAATCTCACCAGGAAATGTTTAAGGATTTCTGTCAGCTGTCCACATTTTCCTGCCAGAGGAAATGGACGGTTCTTATATCTTTATTAGACATGTGCCGGTATTCGGTGGTGCGATATATCACGATAATGAATATACACGATATTGTTGTCGTGGGCACTTCAAAATACCGAGAATAATTATTACAAATGATTCAGAATTTTGAACGCATTTTAAGAATACTTGTGTGCACTCTGTTGCAGGGTTCTTACGGTCATGAAAAACCTGGAAAAGTCATGGAATTTTAAAACGGCAATTTCCAGGCCTGGAAAAGTTTTGGAAAAATAAATAAACCCAGAAAGTTTTGGAAAAGTCATAGAAAACTATTTCTCAAAACTCTGTATAATAGAGTTATGTTTAATTAGGTCCTGAGTTTTGGTGCGGGATTGCGCATAGGCTACATCGCATATAGTTTTACTCATTCCCGCAGCTTTCGACTTTAAAATGATGGATATTCACACATTTATTCAATAGCCTATAGCATGTATGTTTGAATCCACACAGAATATCAGATAAAATCAGTCATTTGAAAACGGCGTGAGTGATTCAGCTGTACCGCGTCTTCTCTCTTTGACTTTCTCTTAAAACGGCTTCACATCGGCGCATCTCGTCTGGGATACAAGACTTCCGCTCGCGTTTCGGTACAGTTGACAGTATTGTCACTTGCCTAATCGGGTCATTGTTGCATCGTCAAAAAAATTTATTATTTATTTGCACGTCTTTTTAAAGGGTCATGAAACCCCAGACTACTTTTTTTTTAGATTTTAGCAGAGGTGTTTGTGTTGCATATCATAGAAGACAATGTTAGCATCTGATAATTTTAACTGTTGGAGAAAACTGGTTAATTTTAAGATTTTTTTTGCGCTATTTTCATCTTCTGGGTTTAAAATCTACGTAGTGTTGATGTCTCAATTTGTGACGTGGCAAAGGACATGTGTATTAAGAAAATTAAATTAGAAAAATATTTGGAACATTTTTTTGTTTGTTAAATTTAAGTTTTTGTTTTTTAAAGTAACGACCAAGCGGCCAGCGGCTGACAATGAGTTAATCATAGCCTATGTTTGATCAATTTAGCCTTCTCAAATCATCACCACTTGACTAAAACAAAATCTATATATAAAATACTTAAAGCATATCACTTTGTAAGTTTAAACAGTTAACCTAGATAAATGTGTACTATTAGGCGTGTATCCAATCATTTGTGCGGAGAGTGGAAGCTAAAGCGCGCTCTGCAGGACTTGGAGTCGCCAGGGCAATCACTTGCATTTTTTTCTTATAACGGTGGAAACAACCGTCATTTTTGCTCATATAGGTAAGAGTAATGCATCATTCAGGACTGTTAAGGGTCTACTTTTATTTGTGTGCACTCACAATATCAGCATACGTAGTGATATTTTAGAAAACAAACTGCGCTTTCTGCCGTCTCGGTCTTGAGCAGAAGCGCTTCACAAAAATGAACCGAAACTCTGCGAATATTCTATTTCCCCTGGCCCCGACACATTCATCAAGGTAATTACTTGCTGGGGTTTGCGGCAAGCTTTGTCATCACGTTCTATTAGTTCTACAGCTTCAGTTTCAGAACTTTCACGCTTAGTAACACATACAGCTGTTCCCTCACCACAGTGCAACAGTGAAAAGGGACCCCTTTCAAACAGTGTCGCATTCCCAGCGTTGTTTAAGCGACATACACCGGTATTGCGGTATTTTAAAAATTCATATCATAACAAAAATAAACACCGTATTCGGTATGAACCAGTATACCGCCCAGCACTATGATTAGGTTAAAACCGAAACCAAGCCATTCACACAGAACGCATATTCAGCACATTTTTAGATGGACAAATATGACTGCAGCACTCGCGTCTCATGCAAGAGATGCAAAGAAAGTCATGCAAAGTCAAAACAGTTTTAACGTTTACAAAACGCAACACAAATTTGTGAAGGTTTATTTCATTTCACTGCATCTCAAATGTATTTAAATGCAATCTGTGTGATCGGTGATTTGGCTCTGTATTAAGCAATGCATAAATACTTGATGCTGTTTTGTTGATAATTGTTTATGCCGTTTACAAAAATATATTTGATATATATATATATATATAATATTAATTTAGACATTATGCATGTTTTTATAGACAGTTATTTGCATTGACAATTTAATGCGCTGCATTATTTTGCTCATTGCTCCGTCGGGAGACAAGTCAAAGTTTCCTTATATATATATATTGCTCTGTTTTAAAAAAGGTTATAAAAAATTTCAATAATTATCGATATCGAACGATATGAAACATGTATCGTTGATATATTTTTTTAGCTATATCGCCCAGCCCTAGCTAATCGACACAGCCTTTATCACTGCAAGAATACTATGAAATATGTTGCGTGTCTTATTCTGTGTAAGAAGCCACATCATCTCACAGAAGGATTTATTTCAAACACTCGACTGACGTTATGAAGTGAGTTAGGACTAAAAACATTTTATTAAATGTGGTATTTTCACGTGGTTTCAGATGGAGCAGCATTTACTACACAGCCACTGAGAAGCTACGCAAACAGCTTTCGTTATCGCAGAACGATATCTTCGATTTCATAATCGCACGATTGAATTTTGCGTAGCTTGTCAATGAACTACGGCTCTGTGTAGTAAATGCTGCTCCATCTAAAAGCACATCTAGCGGACAACTACAGTGAATACTGTAACATTCGTTAAAGTTACTTACTTGACGATGTTGTGTCCTAAAATGCCTTGAAGACTCGAATGCAGCCGTTTGTGATCGTTAATTCGCGCCCGCGAGCATACACATGTGAAGTGCGAAGTAGATGCTGCTCCATCTAAAAGCACATGATGGAGATTTACTACTAATCACAGAACCGGCTTTACTGACAAGATGCGCATGACAATTGTATTTGATTAATCGTGCAGCCCTATAATTTACAAAGTCTATATACTGCCTAGACCCACTGTCTTTCTAGAACTGATAATCAGAAGTAAACGATGATCAGAGTTATACACACAAAGACACTTGCTGGTCATCAACTACTGGTGCAGTGTTGTAACTTGCAGAAAGCATTACTGAACAAATAACTTTTTGAGCTGATTCAGATATTTAATTCCCTGAAATGAATCCAAATCCCCATCCACAGCTGCTGGCCATTGAACTGAAAAACAGATACCATGAATGCACTGTTAGTCGCTATGTACATTTATGGCAGATATACAAATCAAATATGCAAATGCAGAGGTCCTTCAACCCTGCTCCTGGGGACCCACCGTCCTGCAAAGTTTATTTCCAACCTGCTTCAGCACACCTGCCTGACCAGCAAACCAGCTAATTAAGCTTTTCAAGTGATCCAGAAAAGCTTAATTAGCTGGTTCTGGTGCATTTGATTAGGGTTGGAGCTGAGCTCTGCAGGACGGTGGGTCCCCAGGAGCAGGGTTGAAGACCTCTGTACTAATGTATACATGAGTAAATAAAATTGGTAATTGAAATACTGAAAAACAATGCCATTTTCCCCCTGACCAGTGGATGGCAGTGTCACCAAATTTGGTGCCAGATCATAATAAAGATCCACAGTTATTAACATCATTAATCTAGAGTTTTTTTAATTCCAACAGAGGGCGAAGTGTATAGGTGTGTTCGACTTGGAGCAGCACCACGCAGACGATCAAGCGTATGACATCAAAGCACCACGAGAGCGATTCGAAAGCATGCAGCCGTCTGTTCTCTGTAGCTCTCGCGGTGCTTTGATGTCATACAACGATCGTTCTGCATGGGTTAAGGCTTGAAGGGATACGTATGGCGCTACTGGACATGTGCACATCAATACAGCGTAATTTTTGTCACACTGTACAACAATAATTACTATTTTTTCATTATTGTAAGGGGTAGGTTTAGGGTTGGGGTAGGTGTAGACGTTAATAAAACACAATCTAATGGGTAGAAAATTAATTTCATTGTTCGTTTCCGGTTGGAGCTGTATCCCTTCTAGCCACAACCTTCTGCGTGCGCAGTGCCGCTGCATTAGATCATATCTAATGATCGCTGCATATCACTTTTATGCGGATGATACACAAATATATCTGCCTCTGAAGGAAAAAGATATGAAAGGGTTAGGAAATCTGTTTGCATGTCTAGAGGACATCTCGGATGTCTTTAAATTTTCTATGCTTAAACTCTAGTAAAACAGAAGTTATTGTGTTTGGGCCTCAGGTGAATAAGGCTAATGTAAACCATAATCTGGGATATTTGAACTCCTTTATCAAACCAACTGTGAACAATTTGGGAGTCCTTTTAGATTCCTCCTAGGCCTGGGCGATAAAACGGTATTGATATTTATCGACGGTACACCCTCTTCGATAACGATAGAAACATTTTTTGATATAGCGCACGATATAGGCACGTGCTATGAGTGACGCAGACAGCTCACACAAACATAAACACATGCTGTGCCTGCCTGTGATGAGGAGATTGTGAATAAAGAATGAATATTAGTCGAATTTAAAATAAACATGAGGCGTTTGTGAATAAAAAAAATTAATATTAGTCGAATTTAAAATAAACATTTGTATTTGAATGCAAAAATAGTACAATCAAATGTTAGGTGTGCGTCTGGGAGCGTCATTAGTGGAGTGCGAGATGCGTTGATGATGTAAGTGACGTTGTTGCATTTTAATGTTTTGTTAGTCTAGCCCACGAGACGTGCCGCTGCTGCGCTATTCGTTCAAAATATTAGAGAAATATAGTAGCTCAGTGCGTAGAAGATCTTGATTAGGTGAAAACCGAAACCAAGCCATTCACACAGAACCACTGATCTATATATGACTGGATCGCTCATCGCGTTCTAAACTGCCGACAGGCAGTGAAGCCACCGGAAGTGTTCGATCTGCCATCTTACTAAAGGCCCTTTCACACGGGACGCGGCAAGCGGTGGAATCGCCGCGCGGCTGCCGCTTTCTCTTGTAGTGGAAGCGTTTTGTGCAGAGGCGGTGGTTACGTTGCGGTCTCGGAGCGGACATTGCCATAGTTACAATTGTCAACATCACCTTTGTATTTACTAAAAACTAAATAAAACATTATGGAAATTTGTGTTTGTGTCATTCTGCCATTAATTGTTGTCATTATTTACCTTTTTTTTCATTTGGCACAAGAGAAGTTGTTTTGATTGATTTGCCTAAAGAGCATACCTGTGAGGTTATGATTGAATTAAATATAATTTTATTTATGTCTCTGTATGAGATTTTAGATGGGTCATACAGTTCTGGGAAATCTATTACACTTAAAACAATCTTCTCCTCTATTTTTTCAATAGGCATTTCAGTTAAATGTTCACTGATTGGTTGAAACCGATGCGGCTGCCGTGCCGGTGGAAGCAGCAGGATTTTGGGTGCACGAGCACCGCTTGCGCTCCGCCTCCGCGCCGCCAGCGAAACCCTAAAACCTGCGTTTTACCCCGCATGTCTCCCATTGAGAATGTACTAGACACTCGCGACTGCCGCGTCCCGTGTGAAAGGGCCTTGAGCATACCTGTGAGGTTATGATTGAATTAAATATAATTTTATTTATGTCTCTGTATGAGATTTTAGATGGGTCATACAGTTCTGGGAAATCTATTACACTTAAAACAATCTTGTCCTCTATTTTTCCAATAGGCAGTACAGTTAAATGTTCACTGATCGGCTGCCGCTGCCACTCACAAAAAGATAAAATATTTGTATCTTTGGCGGCACCTGCAGCGAAGCGCCGTGCCCGTAGAAGCGGAACGATTTTGGGTGCACGAGCACTGCTTGCGCTCCGCCTCCGCGCCGCCAGCGAAATCGCCCGCGTTTGGCCGCTTTCCGCATGTCTCCCATTGAGAATGAACTAGACACTCGCGACTGCCGCGTACCGTGTGAAAGGGCCTTAATCCCTACCAGCAGAGAGCACCATTGAGTCACAGCTAAAACACTGACTTATCTGCTTCAAATCGGGTGATTTCAGGTCAAACGGGATTCGTTTTTATGTTATGTGTATGTAAATTCATTTTTACTTCAGATGTTATCGGCAATGTTTATGGTCTTTTTGGGCAGGATATATTTAAACCGTTTAGGTGGGTGTGTCTGCTGCGCACTGCCGACACAGGTAACTGATCCAACACAAAATATAGCGTATTTTTTATGTATGTAATTATTCAGGAATTATTAAACATGAACGTATTAGTATCAGAAATTGATTTGAATATACAATGAATAATACAATAGCCTCTGTTACTATATTGCCCTATACTGAAATGAAAAGCTTAACTTACCATCTTGAAATAAAGCTTCATGTCTGTACTGTATGTAGTCAGTTATTTCTCTGAATAAATTATGATGTGTATATTTTTAATGTCCTGATTGAGAAACATCTATTTCAGACTCTCCAAGATCGCGCACATATGGTTACTAGCATTACCGTTTCCATGTAAAATGTTGTATGCTAAATTAATAATTAATTTAACCACCGTTTAAATCATTACCTGCTTCAAAATGAATGCTGTTAACGAAATCATTGTTGAAACATTTGCAGCCTACTGTATGAATAAAAACACTAACAAAATTATATAAACAATGAATAACTGTACAAGGCGAATAAAGGTATGTGTATACAAAGCATAAATCTTTCTTCAGATTTCAGAATGAGCACTTTGACATTTGTTATATATACGTTGAGGTCGTGTCCGTCTTTATCATGTTCATGATGTTCGCTACTATAATGAACGTAGCTTTTTAATAAGCAGGGGGAATTCCCGACATTAAAAAAATAACCGTTTACATGCCTAGGGTGTTTGCACTGTAAGAATGTACAGAGATACTTCAGATATAAAACGCTGACTTGTTAGGTGATGTTTTCTCATTAAATTCGTCCGATTTCCTATTAATTCAGTGGAATGTATGGGAATACTGGGGAATACCAATATGGCGGCACGGCGGCTTCACTTTCATGATGCAATACATGATGCTGTTTTGTTCATAATTGTTTATGCAATTTACGAAATTATGTTTGATTTATGAGTTAATTTAGACGTAATGACAGTTATTTTGCGTTGGAAATTTAATTCACTGCATTGTTTTGCTCATTGCGCCCTCCTGTGGCTTCGGGAGACAAGCCAAAAGTTTCCTTCAGACCCATTTAATCTGCATATAAAACATTAGAAATTAGATATTTGTTTAATTTTTATTTTGTGTTTGACTGTTAAAACAAAAAATATTTGTTGTTTGTCTCAATAAATTGGGTTAATTTAAAAATACAGTGGTTAAATTTAAAAGTTTTTTCTATTGCTCTTTTTTTTTTTATTAAAAAGGTTATTAAAAATGTCAATAATTATCGATACTGAACGATATGAAACATTATATCGTTGATACATTTTTTAGCTATATCGCCCAGCCCTAATTCCTCCTAAAATTTGATCAACATATTAACACAGTAGTGAAGTCAAGTTTTTTTTTCAGTTAAAACTTCTCTCTAGAGTCAAGTCTTGGCTGTCGTTTAAAGATCTTGAGAGAGTTACACATGCCCTTGTCTTGTCGTGTCTGGACTATTGTAATTCTTTATATGTTGGTCTACCCCAGTCTTCTATATCACGACTCCAGATGGTTCAAAATGCTGCAGCCAGACTTAAGACTTTAAACTGGCTCCCAGTGTGTTATAAAATTGATTTTAAGATATTGGTATTTGTTTTTAAATCCCTAAATCATCTGGCACCCTCTTATCTGTCTGACTTATTAAAAGAAAAAAAAACAACAAGATGTCTGAGATCTACAAAAAACTACTCTTTGTCTCAGCCTAGATCCCGATTAAAGGCAAGAGGTGATCGTGCATTTGCAATAGTTGGGCCGAGGCTATGGAATAGCCTTTCTTTATCTGTGAAAACTTCAAATTCTGTCTGAGTTTAAAACTAAATTGAAATCTTATATTCTTACTTTGGCTTTTTAAACTTTGTATGTTTTTTTTTTAATTATTATTATTATTATTATTATTCTCATTGACATTATCGTTTATTGTTGTTTTTATCTTATTTGTACAGCACTATGGTCAACTGCTGTTGTGTTTATTGGTGCTTAATAAATACGTGAATGAATGAAAACGGTATGCAAAGTAACATTGTACTTTATTTTATTTCAGAAAATATTTTTTCTACTCATTTTGTTTAACATTTGACTATTATATTCATGTGCAAGTTTAGGGTTTTCGTACTTGAAAGTTTCATGGTTTAAGGTACTTGAAATATACACCGTGTATGCTCCTGAAATAAAAGTTCAGAAAGATGTGATGCATTGTTTTTGTTAATGTGACTCTTCATATACAGTCTCTTTTAAGGGTATAATCAAGTATTTTCCGTTGTCTAGTCTTTAATAAGCAAACAAAAATCACAATAAATTGTAATACGAATCGCAATATATAATACATAGTTGCAATACTCAATTATCGTAATATATATTGAATCGGCACACAAGTATCGGGATAGTATTGAAGCGGCAGATTAGCGTATTGTCCCCGCCCTAACATCTGTCTATCTTCTGACCATAATCAATCTCTCAATTTTTTTCATAGAAATGCTATCACAATTTTTTTTCTCTTGCTATTGTGGCAAATGAAAATTCAGAAATTATATTTGTTCTAGTTTTCCATTCACCACTATAAAAGTTAACTATGATGACTTCGGCTGATGATACACGGAGCAAGTTTTTGAGCAATTTTGCTGGTCAACTTTTTTTGAGCGATGTTGCATGGGCACTTTCCCACTGAGAATGGGTAACAAATGTCTATATGGATACTTTAGATTGGTCGTGAGCCCTGTGTCTCACCTGGTTGACGGCAACATTACCCAAAATTGCCCAGAAATACCTCTCAAAATCTTGCCCCGTGTATCATCAGCCCTCCACTTCTGAAAACCCCGGAAATTTGAAAAAGATCTGTTAGTTGTATGTTCTACTCTAGTTGGATGATCAACATGACAAATTCAAAACATCTGGTCCAGCCAATGATACTAGACCAAAGGGTTCAAAGATACAACCAAAACAATATCCTCTTTGAGCTGGTGGTGGCACTAGAGATCGATGGCACTGGTCAAAGGATGCTTTTGATTGACTGTTTCCATTTTACTTTGACAAGTCACGCTACCCAAAATGGACTGCAAAACTGGTAGTTTTTTTTTCCCAAGTTCCCTTTCTTGCACACACAGTTGAATTTTGCCTCTTGTTTTGGATCCACAGATTGTAAGCCTGCAAGTGTGTCAAATTGGTCATTTGATGAAAATTGTCTTTTCTGCTGCTTAAGACGAGAAAAAGTGAAGGTAGTTTTTTTTTTTTGTTCATTTACACTTTCCCCCCTTTCCCTGATATGTCAAGACCGTTTTGATCTTTTTTCTTTTTTTTACCTTAGCCTATCTGTTTTTCCTGTACTAGCTATACTATTTGTTTAAGTCATGTGGATACAGTGCTTTCAGTGATAGCATTTTCAGTGTTAATTTAATTTTCCATGGTTTTGGAATTAATTAAGTTGTATGTGTGTCTCTTAAAAGTATGTAAAACACACCTCCACCCTTCATTCTCTTTGTATTTTCCCCCATGAACAGGAACATGTAGTTGCACTCAACAAACAAATTGTGGAAAGTGGAGGAAAACCTTTACTAGGTAAAGATCCTTCTAATATCAGCAGACTTGAGTGGCAATCAGAGGAATTCCTGAATGCAGTGTTGCACAGGAAAGGTGAGCATCCCAGCACATAGTCATTTGTGTGAAAATGAATGGTCAGACATGGTGCATTATAGTGATGGAAGTGACTGCAACGTTTGCTGTAGTAAGTTACTGGTACTGTCCAGAGTAAGTAAATCGATTAATCTCTCACAAATTTTAATGTGCATTTAGCAGAGCTATTTACCCCAAGCCTGAATTTTACTTTCTAGTCTGTTCTTATCAAAGTGTCCTATTTCCTGGACATTCAAATGAAGTCCTTGTCAACTGTGATGTTTATTTTCAGTCTTTGTTGTTTATTTTATTATACGGTTTGCTTTATTTTAACAACATGTCTAATTTAACTGCCAACAGAATACGCGCCAAGAATTCCTGATCCACACATCCCTGTGGTGGCTTGTGGTGTCTTGCAGCAGATGATTAATAAGTTAGCTTCATATTATACCTCAAGAAACAACTGCTCTCAGGACTCCCTTCAGAACAATGGAAAAAAAGACCAAAGCCTTCTGAAAACTAGCTGTATCACTTCATCCACTGCTGTCAAAATAGACTCCGTTGCTTCTGCTCAGAAAAAGTTCGTCATGGTGGACCAAGATGCCCCGCTGGACCTTTCTCTGAGAAAGATCAAAGTGGAGGACTTTGAGCAAGGTGCAGTATAGAATTATAAATATGTAAAGAGCTACTAGTTAAAAAGAAATTGGTTTATCTTCGTTTTGAATGATTTGTGTCTCTTTAGATGGAGTTCTTGATCTTTCGACTAAGAAGAATTTTAACAAAGGCCATACATCTTTAAGGAATTCTCATGTCAGCCCAGCTACACATTTGGTCAAAAGGTAGATCAGGATATATACAGTCTCTTTTTACCAGGTTTATATTATTTGCTTATCACATACAACATACATTTCAGTATTATACAGTTGAGAATGTGTCTTTTATATTTCAAATTTTTTTTGCCTGGTCTTTCAGGGACTCCATCGACCTGAGTCTTGCTCAAGTAAAAGATCTACAGTCTGTGAACACTTTGGAACTGTTCATGTCAAAGCTGTGTTTGCACCACCAGCACCAAATAGTTGATGCATTAGGCTTCTTACAAAGCGAAGTCAAGACTGTGGCTGCTTCCAACCATTTCCAAGCACCCACTCCAGATTTGTCTGAGAAGCAGGCAACAACCAGCTGCAGTTATGCATCGTGTGAAACCAGCTCTGAGATTCAGCGGTCTGAGAGAACATGCTCCGTGGATGCTGCTGTGAGCATTTGTAAGACTCAAGAGTCATCTGTTGTCACAAACAGTCAAAAGCCTACTGCAGAGGTGTTAAAGGCTGATGTTTCCAGTGTTGCACGGGTAATGACTGAAAAACAAGTTGACCTTGGCAAAATGGAAGTTTTGTCAACTTCATCTTGTGGAACAGGTGTTGAGTGTGGAAATATAAGTTCTGCAACAGAATTGTTTGTCATGACAAAGACAATGACTGATAATCTGGGAGCAAAAAAAGTGTTAGGTTCAAGCATTCAGCAAATTCCAAGTAGCAGTTCTGTAAAGAAGTGTCTATGCAGTGCGGAGCGATGCTTGCCAACTTGTACTGTGGCGTCTGATCATGCAGATTTGTTGAAATGCACACAGAAGTGCTTTGCACAAAACGAAGATGCTGTTGTAAAACCTTCCACAATTCAAAAGACATCAAATGTTGTTGTACCAATATCTCCAAGAACAGCCAGGAAAAGCAGAAAAAGTTCTTGCCTTGTACAAAGGAATAGCTCTTTAAGTTGTCTCATAAATGATCCGGATAGCCATTGTGACATAGTTTATATCAGAAAATCAATTACAGAATGTCAGCCTCAATCTCGTAATCGACTGCATCCACGACAAAATGCCCGAAAGAGTACAAGGGGGCACAAATATGTGGAGGAGTACTTGGAACTAAAAACAGTCCGTACCTTAGCTCGTAAATCGATAGGCAATTCTAGTGGGAATTGTCCAGCTCATATGCCAGACGTGCACGCCTCAGTGACTCCGAAGCAGGTCCTTTCTAAGTCTGGCAGTGTACCTCTAGTAAACACACCTTTTGCAGGGGATTGCATGAAAAATGTTATTCCAAAATTACCATCGGAGCAGATAGCGGAGAATGAAATGCCAGATGTCGTAAAAGTAACAAGTCTGGGTCTGATGGTTGAAACCAGTCAGACAGGTAAAATTGAAAGTAATGGCCAAATATTCAATGAACTGTCAGGTAATCGGAGTGAATTAACCATGCAACCAGATTTGATCTCAGAGAAACGCATGGACACTGTAGAAGAAAGCACAGAAACAACAGAACTCACTGTACAAAAAGACGGATGTGACTCCCAAATTGGGCCCATGCCAGAAGAGGTGGTATGTGGTACAGAAAGAAAGGCTGAGTGTGAGGATAAATCATTGGAGCCATCACTGATCCATGTGTCCCCTAACATGGCCAAAGAGTGTTGTACTGATGAAGTCGACATAGAACCGAGAAATGAAAGGGAAATAAAAAAAAACACGGAAATCGAGACTGCAGCAGATGTCCAGGAACAATCCGAGGCATCAGAAATAAAAGCAAACACTGAGGAGGATAGAGGTGCTCAGGAACAAGTTGTACATGACAAAGCAAATTCTTCAGAACTACCAGTGAAGAATCAAGGGGATTCAGCGGTGTCCAGCCTGACTGAAGTCTCTACTGTACAACCACTTGTAAAATGTAAAGAGAAGGATGTGGATCTGCATACTTCAAAAGTTTTGAATGCAAAACATGCAGTGTCCTCAGACAGATGCTTGCGTAGTAGAAGTAAAGGCAGCGTTGACGTAACAAAAGACTCTATGAAGTGTGGTGCTTCTGAACTTGTTGATCATGCCAATGATAAAAGCCCAAAGACTCATTCTACTGAATCAAACGTGCATACTAAGCAGGAGCCTGATTTGAATGCTGTCGACATTCTTGAAACGGCACCGGAGGTCCCGGCTGCCAAACCTTGTAATAGTCTGGTTGTGGATCATGCAGTCAAAACAAGACCAAAATCAAGAACCGCAACCGCTGTTGGGAGAGATGAGCATCCGAGTCCAGGCGTCAAAGTGAATAATGATTTGCCAAGTGTTTTGTCACCTGAGGTTCTCCCAGAGACTGTAAGCACCACCTCCTCCCCAGAGAGTGGAAAGCACGACAAACTGAACAATCAAACCTCTGAAAGCACTGAAAAAATGCCACTTAGAAATAAAAGTAGTCCCGTTGAGCTGTCTGTTAGCGGGCCCTGTTCACCCATCAAAAAGTCCCCACCAAGCTCTGAAAGTATGCTTTTGAGAAGCAGAAGTAACACTGAAGGGCCTTTAAGTAGCAAGTCGATCAGTCCGACAGAAGGCCGTTCAGAGAAGCAAGGGCAAATGCCTTTAAGAAATAGCAGCTCTGTTAGTGAGCAGGCATCTAATAGAGATTTGTGTACATCTTCCGAGGCAGTAACGCATATGCCTCTACGAAGCAGAACTGTTAACTCAATTAAACCGACTGTTACTAAAGATTCTCCTGTTAAAAGTTCCAGTAAACATTTCATCAGTGAACAACCTGTCAGTTCGCACTCCAGTACTACCTGTAGAAAAAACGAGGCCAATGGGCACATGCCCTTAAGAAGCAGTGCCAGTTTAATTACAGAACAGCCCCGTAATAATAAATCTGCTATCGTAGATGCATCAGAAAGCCCTGGACGCATGTCGTTGAGAAGAGGGAATGTAGCTAATACTGAAAATTCCTGTGGCTCAACAACAAACCCTAGTAGAAATAAACGTCCTCTGAGACCACAAAGGGTTTCAGCATCAAGTGGGGAAGCTGAAGAAAGCCCCTTGAGTTCAAAACGTAAAATCCAAAATCAGAAGCATGTGGAGGCGCAAATAAGAGGCTTACTGAAATTGCCAGATGAGTCCTTCCGCATAGCTAGTCTTCAGATGACCGAACCTGTTGTTTGCAGTCCCCCAAAATTTCTGGAGGCGCTAAGGGGGGAAGAACACCAGCAGTTGATTTCCAATTTAAATTCAAAGTTTGATAAAATGCACAAAAGTTGGGTTCCAATGGACAAGGAGGGTCAGCCTGCACCAAAACCCAAAAACAAGGCAGATAGGCTTAAAGAAATCTGGAAAAGCAAACGCAGAGTACGAAAGTCAAGGCCATTGGAACAACAAAAGTTATCCGCTGTGCAAATGCTATTCATGAAGCCCTTTGACTTGTCCAGTATCTGCAGGTGGTTCCTGCAGTCAACTGAAACAAAATCACTTGTAATTGTTAAGAAGGTGAACACCAGACTTCCTTCTGAAACACAGTTGTGCTTTCACACTTCGGCAGCAGGAGCAGGGTCCTCTCACGAGATATTTCCCAGCCTCCAGGCCGAACGGTTGAAGAAGCACCTGAAAAAGTTTGCTATTGCATCACCGCTGAAGAACAACCCCAAGAATCAAAGGCTACTCTCCAAAGCTTTAGGTCAGGGTATTTTTGCGATGAGAAGTAAAGAAAAGCACGAACCGACGACTGCCACACGAATCTGTACAAAGGCACAGAGTCTTGCTGGAGTGACGCTGGCACAGGCTCCCGAGAGCTTTGCCCCGACCGCAGGCAGTGCGAAAAATCCAGCGAGTGCTAGAATTCTCCGGAAATACTCCAACATGCGTGAGAAGCTTCAGGTTCAGCAAAACAAGAAACGCAAAGAGAAAACTTTCAAAGGTGCTCGTTTGAAGGCGGCAATAATTCCAAAGAAAGCCAACGAACAAAAACTGCCGACACGTAAAGGGTCAAAGTCTGTGGTTGTTCAGAGGATCTCATCTCTGACCAAGACGGCAAAAACGAACTCTGCCCTCAAACAACGGGTTTCGAAAAGGAACCAATGTCACAAAGACCGTACCTCTCCAAAGAGGTCGCAGGCACTCACAAGAACGGCGAAAGCCATCGGTGAGAATGCCTCAACAAACACCTCGAATAAAAAACAGATACTGATCAAAACCGGAACTGATAAGGCACAGCAAACAAAAGCAAGTCTGACTAAAGTTGACACAAAGAAACCGGTGTTCCAAAAAGGCCCTAATAATTTAGAGCCGCAATCTTTAGATGTGGACGTTAAACCTCTGATGTTGGAAGACCAAGTGTTAACTAGGTCACAAAGAAAGATGGAAGGCCCCCCTTCACAGACTGCCTCTCCCAAATCCTCCACAAAGCGAGGCTTGGAACCTCTGGTCACTACCACAAAACGTACTAGGACCTCAAAACCATAAACAATGTGTACAGGTGTACTAGAAACTCTTGTAGAAATGTTTCATAAGAACAAGGGGTGCTGGTGCTTTTCAGAAGATTATTTTTGAAGCTTGGCAGTACATTTTCAGAACGTTGAATTTGTCATCGGAGAGAGATTTGTCTTAGTTTGGGCAAAGAAATTTTCCAGTGTTCATTCTTTTTAAGTGTCAAACTTTTTCCAATTATGCTTAAAGAAACCTATTTGTTTGTTATGAAAAAAAATAACTTTTTTTTTTTTCTTGATAGAGCCATTATTGTAAAAAGAAGTCAAGAAATAAAGGTTCTGATTCCCATTAATGGGGCATTTTAAATATGGGTTATAAATAACCCAATAACTCGCTTGTTTGTTTGACCGTTACATTGCATAGCTTATTATTACAACAGCTTGGACTATTAAGCCAGATATTATTTAAGGAATGATCCACAATTCTAAAACAATTAATAATTTTAGCTAATTGAAGTGGCGTCGTAACCTGAATAATGTGCCTTTTTCTTATCTGTATTTATAAGTGATTGAGGTTGCCTCAATAAAGCCTCATTCTTTTTGCACATAGATGAGAAATTTGTCCCAAACTTCATAAGATCGCATCTTTTTCCCTTTCACTCTTAATTCTACTCCGTTTTGTCTTTTACAGCACTGACGTTTAAGTATGTAGTAGTTCATATTTTCAGTCTACCGTTATAGAGTTTTGTTCCTCCTTTTAGAGGGTGACATACATAGGAACATACTGTATGCACAAGTTTCTATCACTTCGGTTTAGAATGATTTTATGGTCTCAAATATTCAGTGTTTTTAATATGTTTTTAATATATGTATACAACAGGAAATACATTTACGTAGAGTGAATCATTCATAATTCACAATTTAAGTGTTTTTGTTGTTGTTTTTGCCTTTTCAGATGAAAATGTTAGGGAAGGACGATTTGGGATGATATCCATTCAGACTCGGTCAGTGTGGTAGTTACCTACATTTGCATCGTTCTCATCATTGTAACTTGCATCATTCTGATCTAACCGCGGGAAAATGAGGCGCTGTTGCGTGCTCTACAGGCTCAAGCGATTGCTTATGAACTAATGTTGATGAATTATGACAATGTTTATTATACGATATTTATATGGTGATATGTTTTAGACGGTTGTAAGAATGCATATTTTATTTCCCTCATGATCTGAACTTGCACAGTCAACAATGCAGACATTTCAAAATAAGAGTCACAGTGTATTTCAAGCTTTTTTCCTGGTCATTCTTGATATTTTGGGTACATAAACTGTATTTAATTTAATTATCAACTATTGTAGCTTCTGTCTGGGATTCCCCATCACAGGATGGACAGACTAAGAACATTATTCAAAATAGTGTTTAATAAATACAATTTACTAGCATCAGGTTTTTATAGTTAAAAATAAATGTTAACTGAAATTATAAAACTATAAAAAAGGAAATAAATACCTAAAACACATATATTGAAAAAAACGTATTTTATTTCATTTAGTTTATAAGCTTTAGCTTACCTTGATGCACTAAAATAACCAAAACAGAAATAAATAAAAAATAATGACTACAAAAGACTGACTAAAACTAAATCAAAATTTGCTGTCAAAATTAACACTGGATCAGATGTGCCAAGAACCAAATATTTTGATAAAGCAGACATAGACACTCATATAATCACACATTTTAATGAATGAAAAAGGAGGAAGTTCAGTAAACATTTTGGTGGCGCTACTTACATTCGGAGTAACTGCAGTTAGTCAATGTAACTACCAACGTAACATCAGAAGAATAAACAGCAAGAGCTCTTAAATGTTCTATATGCAACAGCGACGGTATCTTTCACAATAAATGTTCTTGAGTTCATGATGCGATGGTTGTGACTGGCACAAGGTTAGCTCAGACCCATGCAATCTACAGGAAAAGCCTGTAACCCTTTCCAATGATTTGTCTGCACTGAAGCGATGACATTGACATTCACTTCCGTTCCCAGTACCTCAGTGTACAATAAGAGCAATAAGTATCCACAAAACTAAAACAAAACATTGTGGAGAAACCAACCATGTGGTACAATGAATGGATGGAGGATTAAATTACTGCTAGTTCTCATCATAAGCAAGTCGTTTCTTTTGGTCTGCGCTTAATCACAGAAACCGCTAGTAGCGGTCGGGGCTATTGACTTGCTCTTTAATATGAGGACTGGATGGTAGCTACCCTTATTAAATGCCTCGTCTCAATTACCTCTTTTTCCTCGGCTTTATTCACAACTCAAAATCAGCGTACTCTTAAATGAAATTTCAGCTTTCTATCTGGAAAGGTCTTAAAATAAATAATGACAAAATCAATCACAAAGATATTTTAAATGAATTAAATTTGGTATTCACATGGAAGACAACATTTACAATAAAAAAAAAAAAAACCTTCCAAAACAATCGACACTGGCTCCTGTTACGATAAGGCTAATAATTATCTATGCTTTTGGCCAGTTTCAAACCACTGTAGCCTGCATAAGCAATGACCGAATAAAACGCCAAAAGTCACCGAATTTCACACTGCTGTTTAATAGTAAAATCCCGAAAACACAAATTTATTCTTTAACATATAAAAATACTATACCAAAATGAAATACAAATATATATTAGAATCTGTTAAGCATTTCTGTATAAAGTGAAGGTCTAGGGAGTTAGGAAAAGGAAATCGACGCGAACAAAAAATAAACACTCACCGAAATTAAATGAAATAAGCCAGACTGCACTTATGTTGTAATCCTAGGACGATGTTCGTGGCAATTTGCAAACCTTCATGAACGCAGTAGCTTGCAGAGGTAATACTGAAGGAATCAAAAAGAGAACATGGTGGATTCTGGGAAATCGTTACTGTTACGCCAGCGGGAGACGGGAGAATTGTGACTTCTAAGAGGTGTGTACAGTGTTGTGGTCATAACCCATAGTCATATTGTACCCCTCAAACAGTTTCAACACTGGCCAATATAAAAACTGCAGTGGCGTTGCATATTTAGCAGCGTTTCGATAAGCGATGTTCTATTTTCTGCTCAGCAGTACTAATATTAACCACAATCCAGACATCACATGACAACGAGCATGCATCTTAGAAAACGGTGTGATGAGATCTAGCTAGCGCTTGACTTCAGCTCTCCCTTACATTCTGTAGAGTTCTCCGTTTGAGGTAATGGAGTGACAAACACTGTATGGAATAGATCGAATGGAGACTCGTTTTCTTCAACTATCTCGATCTATCGAAAGTCAAGATATAGTAAAGAAGCTCCCCTCCAACAACATAACTCTATGTTACGGCACCAGGAGCGTCGCAGAGCTCTTCACACGTTCACATGGAAGGCTGCTGGGTATTTTTGGCCCCATGTCGTTTATTAAGGATGCCATATTTGCAGTGGAATTGGGTCAGGGACACATAAGAGTCCCATGCGCCACCCATAACAAAAAATGACTGGAAATATCTGGTAAGACAGCATGTCGTTCCATGCACGTCTCATTTTTCACGCGCTTTATTTTACCAGCATGTCTCCGAGGATGTATTCTTCCACACAGATATATCATACATATAGTTTTATTCAGGCATGGTGGAAATGTGGATGTTCCTTTCGTCACCATTTTGGAGCCTTATGTGCTCAAATACACGTCCTGCACTGCAGAGAGAGTCAAAAAGACAATCATTTTCTTCTAATATGTGACTACTCTCCTGCTTTTGGGCTGAAACAAGCCAAGGGCCACCTCGCTCGCCTTTCCTCTCAGCAGAGTTGGTGTTATTTTACCTTTCTGAGACCTTACCTAAGGACAAAAGGGGGTTGAAATTTCAGGCTGTGGTGGAAATATAAAGGGTTGGGTTGGTGTGTTTGGGGGGGGTATGTCTCTGTATACCCAATGAAAGATGATATCTACTTCTGTTGACTTTTTGTGATGGCTCTTTCTGCGGTTCTGTCAGACTGTGATGAGGCGGTGATGCTAGTGGTTGTGTTCTACATGCAGCCCACACAGCCACACTTGATGGTCTTTTCAACCTCCTCGCTGAAGGATGTGCCATCGCTGCACTCGAAAGTGTACAAATCAGCCACAATGCGAAAAAAAGTGCACAGCAATGAAGGGGTGACAAAATTATGCCTGAAAACTAACTCCGTTACTAAGGAACTGAGCTCAGTAACTAAGGAATATACAGCACTGAATATATATGGCTATATAGCCATCTAATGGCTACTCCACAGTATTACAGGGGATTTTCTTGATTTTTCTCCACAAGGTGGAACAAATCTGCCTCAATTTAATGAATTTTAAATACTTTTGCTCTATTTTTAACTTAAAAAAGCTTAAAATTATATATATTTTATATCTTTTTTTTTTATAAAAAAAATATTATATATATATATATATATATATATATATATATATAAATCTAAATTATGAGCTATTTTCTGTATAAAATATATATAATTTTAAGCTTTTTTAAGTTAAAAATAGAGCAAAAGTATTTAAAATTCATTAAATTGAGGCAGATTTGTTCCACCTTGTGGAGAAAAATCAAGAAAATCCCCTGTAATACCGTGGAGTAGCCATTAGATGGCTATATAGCCATATATATTCAGTGCTGTATATTCCTTAGTTACTGAGCTCAGTTCCTTAGTAACGGAGTTAGTTTTCAGGCATAATTTTGTCACCCCTTCATTGCTGTGCACTTTTTTTCGCATTGTGGCTGATTTGTAGATTGTACAAATCAGCACACAAAAACATCTTTATATTTTTGCGTATTTCCCATTAATTTCCTATGCCAGTCATTTTCGTCCGTGAACAACACAAGTGTGACTATTTTTTTTTAAGTCTATTTAGCTTTTTCAAAATCAAGTCCATAATTTTTTCACATAGCGACTGCCATAAAAGTTTCTGAGTTTCGTACATTCCAATTTTTTCCTGAAATTTCCAACATTTTTTTTTCGGTCTAAAATAACCAATCAACACCAGAGTAGTACCGCAGCTATCTATGCTTTATCTCATCAGAAACAGAATGCTTGACAATGAGCATACGCCCTTAGGGTTGTGCTTATGTTTTCTTACCCTTGTCACATAACTCTCCACTGTAGCCCACCTCACAATGACAGTAGGCATCGCCTGTGTCAGATATCTGACAGTGACCATGTTTGCATTGAAGCTTTCTGCATGGATTGAAGAGCTCCTCCTGCTGGTTGCACAGGGCTCCATGAAAACCCTCCTGGCATTCACAGCGATACGACTGCGTGTCCATTGGAATACATCTCCCATGGACACACCTGTGTAAAACGAATGAAGGAATTAGAGCATTACTTGTTGCGCCACGGTCCGCTCTGCATATTTCACCTCACGAATTTGACTGACTTGCTGCCCAGGCAGGGGTTCGCCGAAGGCTGTTGGTGTGTTTGGGGGGGGTATGTCTCTGTATACCCAATGAAAGATGATATCTACTTCTGTTGACTTTTTGTGATGGCTCTTTCTGCGGTTCTGTCAGACTGTGATGAGGCGGTGATGCTAGTGGTTGTGTTCTACATGCAGCCCACACAGCCACACTTGATGGTCTTTTCAACCTCCTCGCTGAAGGATGTGCCATCGCTGCACTCGAAAGTGTATTTCCTGCGCTTCATCCTTTGACTGGCGCAGCAGGACCCGGTGTCGCAGGTACCGCTGCACTCCACCCACGACACCATGCGTGTGGTCTGACAGAAGGCGTAACCGCGCTGGACCTGGTAGAAGTCCCGCACTGGATCCCCGTGGCACTCAGACTCTAAAACAGAAGAAACGGCATGAAAGTCAAATTGACAATGGACAATTACTAACCAAATAGCATAGGAAAGACTAATTTAACCCTCTGGTATGGTTCATTTGGGAGTCACACTTGTGTTGTTCGCAGTCAAAACTGACCGGAGGCCACAATCGTGTAATAATTAGATTTTTGTGAAATGAAGATATGTCAATAATATTTTTTCTTTAATATTTTGCATTTTGAGTGCATTTCACCTCCTGGCATTCACAGCGATACGACTGCGTGTCCATTGGAATACATCTCCCATGGACACACCTGTGTAAAACGAATGAAGGAATTAGAGCATTACTTGTTGCGCCACGGTCCGCTCTGCATATTTCACCTCACGAATTTGACTGACTTGCTGCCCAGGCAGGGGTTCGCCGAAGGCTGGTCACAGTGTTGCCCACTCCAT